GTCCCCGCCCCAGCAATTGGAAAACCTAACTTTACCTGATTCTGAGGAAAAAGGTTGATGATCTAGTAGCCTGATGGTTGAATAAAAGAATTAAAAGAATGGGATACGGGGGGGGGGGGGGGGGGGGATGGGACACTAAGAGCTCCGCAGTTTGTGCATTTTTTCTAGTTATGTGATGATGCGGTAAGGATAACCTCTACTTACTCTATAGTGATATAAAATATGCTCCCTTCCTGTGATTTTTCACGTTCCTTTGGTGTACTTTCTAAAGAGAAAACATGGGAATTAGTCTGCCAAGAATTTTTTCTTTGAGTTCCCGTAGAAGATTATTTTATTTTGTGATTGCTTGTGACAACTTTCCCAGCTAATTTTTGAGTGCTTTCTTAAAATAAAGCATTCATTTCACAATATGGTTGCCAGGTCCTGTCCACCCTCTCATGGGGGTCTTTGGGGGGCATCCCTGAAGGGGGTCACCAACAATGTTCCCTCTAAGCTGTAGAGTCTCGTGGGCAAAAATTCTACCCTGTGAGCTACTGACATTAAAGCTGTGAGCGAGTGACTTGGCTACTGCATACATTAGTTTGCTCTGGAGCCCTCCTTCCTGTGTGAGCAAGAGGCTAAAAAACTGTGAGCTAGCTCACCCTAACTCAGCTTAGAGGGAACACTGGTCACCAATGTGATGACGTCATGCAGAAGTGATATCATCAAGTTAGGGAGGCAGCCTGAACTGCAACTTCAGGCGTTGGCATTCAGGTGCCAGCAGCTCCTGCTTGCAAAAAGCATTTAAAGGGTCCCTTTAAATGCTTTTTACAAGCAGGGGCCACTGACACCTGAATGCCAACACATTTAGGTGTCCAGCAGAGGTCCATCAGTGGCTATTAGCCACAAGGTATAGATAGGGGCTCTGGGGCAAGTGATGCTCTGTCATCTTGGTGCTTGGGGGGGGCAACAGTGGGAGGGCTTCTAATGTCCTGGCCCCACTGGTGGACCTCCTGATGGCACTGGTATTTCTGGCCACTGTGTGATACAGAGTGTTGGACTGAATGGGCCTTTGGCCTGATCCAACACTGGCATCTCTTATGTTCTTATGACACCTGAACTGCATGTGGCGAATTCACTGCTTGCAGTTCAGGCATGCGGCTGGTGGCCACCCCTCTCCCTCCCCTTTTAAAGGACCCTCCAGCTGATCAGCAGGCCATGTACTCCAGCTGATCAGATGGAGGGCCCTTTAAATCTTGCAAAAGGGGAGGGAGAGGGGTGGCCACCAGTGGTTGCTCTTTGGGGTGGGGCTTCCCCCTGCTGGCTAGCCAACTGGTGGCAGGCAAGATCCTGCAAAATCGGGGGATCCGTCGCCCCAACCTTGGGACTGGCATCCTTATTTCATGAACACTTATCATTCTTGTTTTATTTTTAAGTGGTGTCCTAGAGTCCTCAAATAATTTTAACTGTATCTGTTAAGTCAGGAGTCCCCAACCTTTTTGAGTCTGTGGACACCTTTGGAGTTCTGACACAGGGTGGTGGAAGGGCATAACCATAAAATTGCTTGGCTGCCATAGGATGCAGAGCCAACCACAAAATGTCAGGGGCTGATGTAATGCATTACTCTAACAGTAACTTTTCAGCACTTCATGCAGAATCTCTTTTTGACAGAATGCCTTTCAAAATGAACGTACTGTTTTAAAATATTTGCTGGCATACTCACCGTTTCTTTCAATCGTGCAGTGAAGATCCTTATGCTCTAGTGGCAATTGCAGCTTAGGCACCTTTTAAAAACTCTGCAGGACAAAAGACTCACCTAGCCTGCCCACTTTCTAAAAACACTCGGTCAGTGCCAGAAAAGGTGCTGGTAAATGCCATGGTGTGCATGACCACCACATTGAGGACTCCTTTCTTAAGTTACTAAATGATATCCTTTAATGTTAGGGATTCAAACAAAGGCTCTTGCTGTCCTAGCTGTTAGCATCTTTATGGGTGATATGGTGTGTATGGGTGTGAGTGGGGGATTTTAGGGGCAAAAATTCCTTTCAAGGAGGAGTTAGAAAGGTAACAGTATGAACAAGATCAAGGTGGGTAGCCATGCTAGTCTGTCTGTAGCAGTAGAAAAGAGCAAGAGTCCAGTAGCATCTTAGAGACTAACAAAATATGTGGCTGGCAGTGTTCCCTCTAAGCTGAATTACTGTGAGCTAACTCACCATCTTTTAGCCTCCAGCTCACATTTTTGTCTTAGCTCAGGAAGGGATGGCTCCAGAGCAAAGTAATTTATGCAATGCAGTAGCCAAATCACTCTCTCACAACTTTAATGCCAGTAGCTCACAAAGTAGAATTTTTGCTCACAAGACTCCACAGCTTAGAGGGAGCATTGGTGGCCGGGTATGAGTTTTTGTGAGTCACTGCTCACTGCTATATCTGAAAGTTTTGTTAGTCTTTAAGGTGCTACTGGACTCTGGCAGTATGAACCAGGTTTTGTTTCACTGTGGAGAAATGCCTCTGTATTTGGCATTGTCTAAAATCCATGAGAATAGGCCATAGCCCAGAAATTTTATGGTGAAGGGTCACAGCAATGTACATGGGGAAGTTGTGTTGAAAGAGTAAAAGGCTAAATATGCCTCATGTCAGTTAACACTTCCATGTTGCTGGAATGTGTGGAAGGGGAAACCACCTTGCTCTGCCTGCTACGCACAGAGTTTCACTGGCTGGGTATTATCTACTTTCTTGGCTTTGGGATGTTCCAGCTGCTGTCAGCTTTTGCCCGCTTTCTTTCCCCGCGTGCTCGAGCTTTGCTTATTGGCTTCAGCTTGTAAGCCGGGGCGTTTGAACCTAGTATAATTCAGGGTGCCATACTGCTCCCGGGCATTCTTGACACAAGCAGTACACGTGTCATAGTCCTGGTGTACCAATAAACAGAATCCTTCTTATGTTGTATGACCTGACTATCGAACCCTGACACCTGACTTAATTTATTAATTTAAATTAAGATAGATTTAAAGTGCCAGGTGCCTAAATGTTTGTATAAGTTC